TATGTATATAAAAACAAGTACATGAAATTGGGCTGGGGTAAGGGAAAGTGCAGATAGGGCAGGGAATCTAAATATGGTCAAAATCTATTGTGTGAAATTTGCAAAAATTTAATTAAGTGGAAAAACCCCCACAACTTTATTAAAATATAATTTATATGCTATAAATCCACCCTTTTAATGTATTCAAATGCATTTCTGTCTCATGAACTGGCCCATTCTGAACATCTAACATAAATGAAATAACATAATATGTGACCTTTTGTGTCTGGCTCTTTTCATGTAATAGTGTTGAACATATTAATTCTTTTATTCTTCCAGAATGTTAAGTAAATACTGATAGTTGTTTGCTTTCATGTCACAATTTTTTTTTTCTGTTAAATGTTATTGGTAACAATGAAATTTAATTTAATGTTTTTTGGGACAGGGTCTCCCTGTAGCCCCAGCGGGCCTGGAATTCACTGTGTAGACCAGGCTGGCCCCAAACTCACAGAGTTCCACCTGCCTCTGCCGGGACTAAAGGTGTACGCCACCACGCCTGGCTCTATATTCCTATTTCTACATGCTAGGCAAGTGTTCTACCACAGAACTATGTCCTCGGCTCAAAGCCACTGTTTTAAAGTATAGAGTTCATTAGCATGAGCAAAGCCTTTGGTTTGATCCCCAATGCCACAAAATAAATAAGTCAATAAATGAAATAGAGAATTCACTGCTTTTATTTTAGTCTGTTCACAAAACAACCGAGAACACTTAGGATTCATGGCCCAAGTAGAGATCTTGTACCCATTAACAGCCCCTCCTGTTCCTTGCTCTCTCTAGTTGTTCCCAACCACTAGTCTGCCTTCTACTTTATGAACTGCCCTGTTTTGAGCATCTAACATAAATGGAATCACATACATTATGTGGCCTTTTATGTCTGGCTCTTTTTGTGTAATCATGTTTTCCTATAATCTTGTTGAGCATTTATCAGTACTTAAGTCTTTCATTTTTCCTACAGAGCAAATATTGATAATTGTTTACATTCATGTCACGTGTTTTTGTTTTTTTTTTGACATTTCTGTTTAAATGTTACTGGTAAGAATGAAATTTTTATTATTTACTTAACTTTATTATTCTGTGTGTATCTGATTTGTGTGTGTGTGTGTGTGTGTGTGTGTGTGTGTGTGTGTGTGCTCGTGCCACAGTGCCCATGTGAAAAATCACAGGATAACTTTTTGGGAGTTGGTTCTTTCCTTCCCCTGTGGAATCCGGGGATTGAACTCAGGTTGTCCAGCTTGTGTAGCAAGCACTTTTGCCTGCTGAGCTATCTTCCCATCCTAATTTTGCACTATGTAAACCAGGCTGTAAACCAGGCTGACCTGAAACTTTCCACATTGTAGCTCAAGCTGATCTTCAGCTGGTGCTCCTGCCTCAGTCTCCCAAATGCTGAGATTATAGGCATGTGCCATTCTACCCCACTAAAGTTTTGTTTTTTTTATAATAATTTATCTTTTATTGAAATTGAATATATTACAGTAAAATTGATTGAAACAAATGAAGAGAAAAATCAATTTTAAAAATACACTCATGTTGAAATCCAATAAGCCAGCCAAATTGGGCAAGAACCAAGAAATTCTGCAGGGTGATTTGCCTTTCAGTATGCAAATACCACCTATATACAATTCTGCAATGCGAGAAAAGTCATTGACCATGCCGAGAAAGGAGTTCATAGACGTGGACGGACACTGGGCCTGTCCTTCCATCCCAGGACTCCAGTCAAAAGCCTCATCCCGCCCTCTGAAGTTTTTATCATTTTTAGAGGGAATATATATATATATATTTTTTTTAATTTTTATTATTTTTATTTTATGTGTATGCTTGTATTGCCTGCATGTAGGTAAGTGCACCCGTGTCGTGCAATGCCCATGGAGGTCAGAAGAGGCTGTGGGATCCCCTGGGACTGGAGTTACAGACAGTTGTTAGCTGCTTGGATTTGAACCCAGGTCTTCTGCAAGAACAACCAGTGTTCTTAACTGCTGAGCCATCTCTCCAGCCCCAGAGGGAAAATATTTTTGTTTTGGCATTTGTAGTTAGTTTGGTAGATGTTGGGGTGGGTAAAACTGTAACTTGTCCCTCTTCATAAACATATTTAGGGGGTTGGATTATAAATACAAATACTTTTTAATACAAACTATTGTAAATTCTGTAATTATCACTCAAAAACACTTTAATGTCTTGAAAATAAGAGAAATGTGATTATATTAATTTCATATACTTTTCTTATTTTTTTGGTAAAAGGTTTTGAAGTGAAGTTTAAATAAAGACTACCATAAATTTAAGGAAAATACACCATCATTTTTCCCCACTGAAAAAGTAGTTGAAATGATTTAGGATACATTTTGCAGTGGAATCTTTCTGATGTGTAATTCTTTCCACAAGCTGGGGTCTCATGTTTTTCCTAACCAATTGAAACATGTCAGTATAGAAATAGTACAGTAAAAACCCAAGCTAAACTTTAGGCCGGTAGGCATTACTTCAGTACAATGCACATTATTTTCCAATAGTGAGACTATATACTCTCACCATAGCATTTTCAACCCCCTCCAAAGTTCAGTGAGCAGAAATTTAGGAAGACTAGAAGTGGGGAATGGGTACAGTCATGACAAAACCCAGCCAGGTGACTAAGTGGGTAAAGGTGCCTGCCTGCGTTTCACATGGTGAGGGAATTAAGTTGTCCTTTGACTTCCACATGTGTCTGCGTGAATGTGTGAATGGTTAAGAGCACTGACTGTTCTTGCAGAGGACCGGGTTTAATTCCCAGCACCCACATGGCGGCTATCAGTCATCCATAACTTCAGTTCTAGGGGAATCCAATGCCCTATTCTGACTTCCTCAGCATCGCATGACATGGTACATTTACATAATGCAGATGACACACTCACACAAACAAAAATAAAAAGTAATAAATAAAATTTTTAAAAAAGGAAACTATTACTTAACTCAAAGATATAGTCTTAAGAATTTTATAGTTTTAGCTCTTATATGACCACAAAGATCTTATATTGACAGACTTCAGAGGATCCTGTGAGCTGTTTGCTAAGGGTGGGAGGTAATGGTGGCGCTCTTGTGCTGGGACTTCTTTTCTCCCCCTCCTTGACAAGTCAGACAAAGGGCCTTGGCCCTGGGAAGCACTTGTCCTTGGAGATACTAGTTATGTGGTTTCCATAGTTTATTGTCTCTCCCCCCTTTTTTTTTGAAGGTAACAAATGAAGAGGACTTTATTAGGAAATTGGACTGTAAACCTGATCAGCACCTGAAGGTGGTTTCCATTTTTGGAAATACTGGTGATGGAAAGTCTCATACCCTCAACCACACTTTCTTCTATGGTCGGGAAGTCTTCAAAACGTCCCCTGCTCAGGAGTCCTGCACAGTAGGAGTGTGGGCAGCCTATGACCCAGTCCACAAAGTAGCAGTGATAGACACAGAAGGACTCTTGGGGGCTACCGTGAATCTAAGCCAGAGAACACGGCTGCTGCTAAAGGTCCTGGCCATCTCAGACCTGGTCATCTATCGAACTCATGCAGACCGGCTGCATAATGACCTCTTCAAATTCCTTGGGGATGCCTCGGAAGCTTATCTGAAGCACTTTACCAAGGAGCTCAAGGCTACCACTGCTCGCTGTGGCCTGGATGTCCCCTTATCCACCCTGGGCCCTGCAGTTATTATTTTCCATGAGACTGTGCACACTCAACTACTGGGCTCTGGTGAGTAGATGGGTGCTGTGTCACAGATTGACCTGGGTACAAGGAAGTGTCCTCTCATGTGCTGTGTCACAGTGACCTTTCTGGGTGGCCTCTGGAATGTTGCTGGTGGTGGAATGGCCAGAAAAAATTTGCCTAGGCAAGATTAAGACATTGTTCCAAGATGGATAGAGTGATCAACTCTGGCAAGGATTGAGAATTGCTAGTGAATTTAGGTCCTTGGATATCTGGATAAGCCCTGTTTCCTGGAATAGTGAGAGTGAAAACTTGATTAGAGTGGGATCAAGAGAATAGAACCCGGCATAGTGGCATATGCCTGGAATCCCAGCATTCAGGAAGCTGAGGCAGGAGGATTGTGAATTTGAGACAAGTCTGGGCTATATAGTGAGAGCCTGTTACACTCATAAACAAAGCTGGGTTTGGTGTTGCATGCATGCCTATAATCCCAGTATTCAAGAGGCAGAGTTCAAGATCATCCTTAGCTGCATAATGAGTTTCAGCCAACCTAGGCTACATGAACCCTGCCTCAAACACACACACACACACACACACACACACACACACACGCGAGAGAGAGAGAGAGAATAAATGAATGAATATGAATATGAACATGAATGAAGGATGTAGGTTGTATCTTTCCAAGAGTTCCATGAAGAGAAGCAGACAGAACAATAAAGTGGTAGCTGGTGCTCGTGTGGAATTTCAAAGAACTTCCCTTTTTAATATTAAGACATTGGTATACTGATGAGAATGAGTCATTGGAGAGGGAGTAAGGCGTATGTGAGAAAGAGATGAGGTGCCTAGCATGCTTGAAGTTCTGGTTGAATTTCCAGTACTGCAAGAAAAAAAGGAAGGAGTGCTGAGTGTGTTGGTGAACACCTGTGATCCCAGCACTCAGGAGGTAGCATCAGGAGGATTGCTGTTAGTTTGAGGCCAACCTGGTGTACATAGTGAGATCCTGTCTCAAAACAAAAATGCAAAAGAAAAAGAGCAGGAACAGCTGGAGTGGTGCAAGGTGGAGGTTGGTTTTATGACCAGGACAGTTCATATCTATAGGAGAGAGCAGTGGTATGGACACTGATTACAAGTAAGCAGGTAGATGTGCTGTGTGTGTGCGTGTCATCATGCATGTGTGTTTTGTCTTACTGTTTCTGTTTTCTTAGAGAAATAGAGCAAGGTTATCATGGAAATGGGAGGCGCAGGTGCAGTGGTAGTGACTGGATGTAGTGGGGATAGTAGTCTAGTGCCTAAAACAATTACACCACTCATCTGTTCATTCAGTCAAGACAGTACTCTTGTCATGTGCTGGGCACTGAGGCAGAGAGCTAAAAACAACCACCATGCTTGAATAGCTCTCAATGTAATTGAGGAGACCATCTAGTGATCTCTTCTGCAGCACATGTGGACACTGGAGCTATGGGAATGCAGAGGAGGAACTGTACACCTCCTAGTGGGATCTAGGAAAGAGGAAGTCATGTCTTCATGCTGAGTCTTTACTAGGTAGAGGAGGGAAAGAAGCTCTTGTGGCTTCACTGAGCAGGTGTTGCTAAGGAAATTTCTGCTGGTTCTCCTGTAGCTTCCTAAACTCCAGCATCAATCCTTTGGATACATTCTCTACCTGCCATCCAGAGTTTGTTTTCTCTCTCTCTCTCTCTCTTTTTTTTTTTGGTCTTCTTGAGACAGGGTCTCCCTGTAATCCCAGCTGGCCTGGAACTCACTATGTAAACCAGGCCTGAACTCACAGAGGTCTGCCTGCCTCTGCCTCCTGAGTGCTGGGATTAAAGGTGTGTGCTACAACCAGGAGTCCAATGCCAGCCTCCACTTCATAGTGAGTTTGGAGGTTAGCCTAGGCTACCCGAGACCCCCAATCAAAAAACCAAAAAAGAGAGAAAAAAAAGTAATACAGTATCTGGGTAAGGGCACAGATGTCTATAATCCTGGCACTTAAGAGACTGAGGAAGGAGAATTTCAAGTTTGAGGTCAGCCTGAAGCATAGTGGGACTTTGTCTCAAAACCCAAAATAAAATAAGATGTAATCTAAACTCCTAAATGTTCTGTTCTCTAACCCTATCCATGTCTCTGACCACTGGTTTACCATTCTTTCCCCACCACATGTAGAAATGCATACTTGTATGCACAGACTCTCTCTCTCTCTCTCTCTCTCTCTCTCTCTTTCCCACTAGCTATACCACTTTTTCTGTGTTCCTGCTTTTTTTGCATACACCCTCTCTCTTTCTTCGAACCACTTTGCCCAGTTAGCTGTAGACTCAACTCTGACCCAGCCAGAGCCTTTCCTGACTCTCCTTCTAGCGAGGTCCTTCCTGTACCTGGAGCTCTCACCTTCTACCTGCACCTGTCTCACCTGAACTCTGTGTTTATTTGTTGTTGGTCTTTTCCATAAGAATGGAAAGAGCAGGAAGGCAGGAGCTCTGCCCACTTTATTCACTACTGCATCTTTTTTTTTTTTTTTTTTTTTTTTTTTTAAGACAGAGTCTCCCTGTAGTAACAGCTGGCCTGGAACTTGCTACGTAGACCAGGCTGGCCTCAGACTTACAAAGGTTCACCTGCCCCTGCCTCCCAAGTGCTGGGATTAAAGGTATGTGCCACCATGTCCAGCTTCTCACTACTGCATCTTAAAGAGCACAGATGAACGTTTGATACACAGATGTGTGTTGAGTGAATGAATGAAGAGTTGGCCCATGTGAAGCATAGGTAGTTTTCTTAGAGGGAGTGGTGGAAATACTTGGATCAGACCAAGGGTAGCCTTGGCTCAGTTTCTCTGAAGGATCTTGTGCCAAGAACCTCCCTCAGTAGCTTGTTGCAATATAAAGAGAGGGGCAATGCTTGGAGTTTGAGAGGTTTTTTAGGAGTTTTCCTGATACTCAGGTGGGAAGATATGGGCACTGGGCAGGGCAATAGCAATAAGAGGGTTGGGGACAGACTAGGCCACAAGGGAGGTTGTTTTGATGGACCTGGGAGCAGTTGATTGTGGTAGCCCCAGTGACTCATGACCTTGTAAAGTAGAGGAAAAGACTCAGTAACAATGACTATGAGCAAAGGTGAGGAGGTAAGAAAGGCTGACTCATGATCACTCGTGATTGTGCTTCTATGCCACTCTGGGTCTTTATAGCATTTGGGTGTAAGGTGTAATTGTCAGCTCAGGACTTTGAAATAACCAGGCCCTCAGAAGTCATAGTTTTGCTTTTTGCTGTTCTATGCTACGTGGGTTTGTTTGTTTTTGTTTTTAAATAATGGGACACTTCATGAATTTGCATGTCATCCTTGTGCGGGGGTGGGGGGGCTTGCTAATCGTCTCTGTATTGTTCCAATTTTAGCATATGTGCTATGCTATGTGTTTTTAAAAGAAATGTTAACTGGGGCTGGAGAGATGGCTCAGTAGTTAAGAATGCTGACTGTTCTTTCAGAAGACCCAGGTTGGAATTCCAGTACCCACATGGCAGCTAACAACTGTCTGATACTCCAGTTCCAGGGAATTTGACAATCTCTTCTGTCCATGGGTGCATTTATCTATATGCAGGCAATACATGCATACACATAAAATAAAAATAATAAAAAAAATTAAAAAAAGAAATGTTAACTCTATCTTTGTTATTCATTCCAGTCAGTTGTAGCCATATTTAACAGATGAGGAAAGTAGGAAAGTGAATTCAGCTGCTTGCATTCTGTTGCTGAGACGGTCCTAGCAAAATTGGGAGTTTGAATCACAGCAGCCTAACTCCTAAATCCAGAGGTTTTCCTGGAATAACAGTTTCCTGAAACCCTGAGAAGGAACTAGGGCCTTGGGGTGACGTGGTCCCCAAAAAGGGGCAAATTGATAATTACATTTTTCTTTGTTTTGTGGTGTTTCTGATTTTCTGTTGCTTTTCTGATATTTGCTTTTCTGGATAGAGGAGTGCTAGGTTGGAGTTTAATAGCAAAGTGAATTACACGTTGGGTATTCCTTACTCAAAATGCTTGGGGCCAGAGGTTTGACTTGAAGATTTTGACTTTAGGAATGTTTGCAAAAGCTTTATGAGAGCAGCATTCTGAATCTGAAATCTGAAATGCTCCAAAATCTGATGTTCAGAAAAGCTTAGAATTGGAGCATTTCTGATTTTGGATGTTCAGATTAGGGATGCTCAGCCTGGGTTTTTGTTATACAGAGGAACAGAAGAAAGTCATTAGGAGCAGGGATTGCACGTGCAGCCACAAGCATGCAGTAATGTTGGGAGGAAGGGAAGGGGATCAGGTTCCTGGGTGACTTAGGGAGAAGCCAATGACCAGCACTTTCCTCACCTTCTTTTAGAATCTCAGGATGAGCTGGGTGTAGGGAACAGGTGCAGAATTATGGCAACTGCTCTTTAATTTCTAGTCTTCCAAATTATCTTCAGTATTAGTGATTTCATTAAAATATTGAAGTTAAACCAAAAAATTCCTTCTAAACATTTCTTAACCTCTAAAATATACACTGGCTCCATCGGTCCTGCAGCTGGTGGACTAGTGAGCCCCTCCTTCCTGCATTGCCAGCTTGCTCACAGTGTCATCGTATAAGCTGGAATTCTTCAGGTGGAAAATTGTGAATGCTTACTAGTAGATGACTGGTTAAATATGCCTACAGGATGGAAGACTGTTAAAAAGAATAAGTTTTTCCTAGTGTTTATCATAACAAAGAGTAAATTAAGATAGATATAGTACATTATAGAACTAGTTGCATATGGATGTTGGTTGCATATGGATGCTGACTTGAAGGGTGAACCTTGATTGAAATGTGTATTTACTTTTGGGGAGTAGGAGGGCACTGAGGCCGTTTTTTTTCCTTTATGCTTTGACATGCCTACATTTTTCTTAGGATGAATCCTTTTTTTTATTTTAAACTCAGATTATTTTATTTTTAATTACATTTATTTATTTTGTGCATGTGTGCATGCTTGTGTAGCATGGCACATGTGTGGAGGTTAGAGGACAACTTGGGGGAATCTACTCTTCCTCCACAATGTGGGTCCAGGAGATCAAACTCAGGCTCTCAGGCTTGACAGCAAGTGTCTTTACCTGCCGAGCCTTCTTGCCAGCCCCATAATGAATCCTTTTGAAGGTTCTTCTTTGAAGCACAATGAACATACAGAAAAGTACATATCACATTCGGCATGTAGGGGATGCATTACATGCTTGTAATTGGTGCCAGCTCATGATATGCTTAATGTGTGTTCTCTCCTTGCTCCTTTCCAGGCATGGCCAGGCTAGTGCTGTAATTCTAGCAACATACTAGCTGTTCCTGTGTGTGTACTTTACATATGTGCAGTAGACTTTAATCTTGAGTTTTTCGGTGAAAGATAGGTGACTTGTTTTCAAAAAAGGCACTCAAGTCCATGTGCCTGTTTGTGCTTGTACAGATCACCCCTCAGAGGCACCAGAGAAGCTCATCCAGGACCGGTTCCGGAAATTGGGTCGCTTTCCTGAAGCTTTCAGTTCCATTCACTACAAAGGAACAAGGACTTACAACCCTCCCACAGACTTCTCTGGGCTTCGGCGTGCTTTGGAGCAACTTTTAGAGAACAACACCACTAGGTCTCCCCGGCATCCAGGGGTCATCTTCAAAGCCCTGAAGGTCAGTTGGCTCCTGCCACAGGTGCTTCTGATGGGGGTGCCTGTGGGCCGTGAGAACTCTCAGTCCTCCTGCATTCTTGGTACAGATGATTCGAAGCTTGGGTTGGAGAGAGTATAGGAAGAGGAAGTGCAAGTAGAGGTTGGGCCTGTCATATACCTTCATCTTTCTTGGAGCTCCAATGGGAATCTTGAGTTACAGTGAGGATGTAGCTCACTTAGTAGAGTGCTTGCCTAGAATGCACGTAGCCCTGGGTTGGATCCCCAATACTGCATGCCTTAATTCCAGCAGTGGGGAAGTGGAGGCAGGAACAGCAGAATTCAAGGTCATCCTCAGCTGCTATATATTATGTTTGAGGGTAGTCTGGTATGGATGAGACCCTACCTCAATGAACAAACAAAACCAATTGATAGAATCTAATTATGGAAAAACTTGGGTTTTTTTTGGCTTTTTGAGACATGGTCTCCCTGTAGTCCCAGCTGACCTGAACTCACTATGTAGACCAGGCTGACCTTGAACTCACAAAGATCCGCCTGCCTCTGCCTCCCAAGTGCTGGGACTAAAGGCATGTGCCACCACTCCTGGCCAACTTGGCTTTTTTTTTAAAAAAAAAATTATTTTTATTTTATGTTTATGTAAGCATGTATGTAAGTTGCACACGTGTCCAGTGTCCATGGAGGCCAGAAGAGGGCGACATATCCCATGGAACTGGAGTTATAAATGGCTGTTAGCTGCCATGTGGGTGCTGGGAACTGAGCCTGGGTCCTCTGCAAGAGCAACTGGTACTCTTAACGACTAAGCTGTCTCTCCAGTCCCCAAACTTGACTTTTTGAATAATGGGAAAAAGTATTTGTTTCTGGGTGGTTTGGCCCAGTCTTGGTGAGTTGGATTTGGAGTGAAGCACAGTTATGCTTTATGCTTTTCTCTATATTGACTGGCTTTTTTCCCCTCTTACCTAGCCTAGTCTGCTTTCTTTTGCTATAATAAAATAATTATAACAAAATTAATCTGCAGTAATGTCACATACATTATAATAAATGATATAAATTATAAAAATATAATAATATACCCAGGGCTGGGTAATTTGTAAAGAATGGAGGTTTATTTGAATTACAAGCATGGAGGCTGGAAAGTCTAAGAGCATTTTGCAACATCTGCCCATAGTCTGGTGAGGGAGCATCTTGCTGCGTCATAGCATGGTGGAGGGCATACAGTAAGATGGGACAAGTGTTCTGGGGAGTTTGCTTTATAACACAGCCATTTCCTGATAACTCATTAACCCATTCATCCAAGAATGACATCAACTCTGGCCCATTTTATTCCAGAGCTTAGAATAATAGGAAGGTTGCTCTCAGCAAATAGAATAATATTTTCTAGTGAGATACTTTTTCATGGAAGGTTCTGGAACCTTTTATCCTTTATTATTAAAAAGAAAAATTAGCCTGGTGTGGTGGTGCATGGCTGTAATCCCAGCACTCATAAGACCAGCCTAGTTGATATAGTGAGTTCCAGACCAGCTAGGGTTGTATAGTGAAATCCTGTCTCAAAATAAAATTAGGTTGGATGTGGTGGTACATGCCTTTAATCCCAGCACTCAGGAGGCAGAGGCAGGTGGATCTTTGTGAGTTCAAGGTCAGCTTAGTCTTCAAAGTGAGTTCCAGGACAGCTGGGGCTACAGGGAGACCCTGTCTCAAAAAGACAAAACAAATCCATCACCAGCAAAAAAAAACTCAAAAGGAAGATGAGCAGTTATTTTGGAGGCTATCTGTATGAGACGTCTTCCAGAGCAGATTCTGAAACTTTGGAAAAGAATTGGAAGGGGGGAAATTCCTGCTCTGGAATTTGATGTCATTCAGTGTGTCACTTAAAATCATGTCCTGTATCGTCTAAAATCCATTAGTGATATGGGGGGGCTCACCTGTTGACAAACTCATTGTGATGGCTAATCTTGACTGTCAGCTTGACATACCTAGGAAGAGGGAACCTCAATTGAGAGATTTCTTCCATTAGATTGGCCTGTAGGCATGTCTGTGGGACATTTTCTTTTTTTCTTTCTTTCTTTCTTTCTTTCTTTCTTTCTTTCTTTCTTTCTTTCTTTCTTTCTTTCTTTCTTTCTTTTTTTTTCGCTCTCTCTTTCTCACTTGTTCTCTCATTTATTTTTACTGTACATGTATGTTTTTGTTTTTAATATTTATTATTTTTATTTTGTGTGTATGAGTTTATTGCCTGCTTGTGTGTAAGTGCGCCCGTGTTGTGCACCTGGAACTGCAATTAAGGACGGTTGTTAGCTGCCATGTCGGCTCTGGGAATCAAACCTGAATCCTCTGCGAGAGCAGTTAGTGTTCCTAACCACTAAGCCATCTCTCTAGTTCCTCATTTTTTTTTTTTTTTTTTTTGATACAGGGTCTCCTAGCTGACCTGAACTCACTATGTAGACCAGGCTGGCCTTGAACTCACAGAGATCCACCTGCCCCTGCCTCCCAAGGGCTGGGACTAAAAATTATTTGTGTGTGTGTGTGTGTGTGTGTGTGTGTGTGTGTGTGTAGGGTATCTGTATCCGTCTGTGCATCTGTGGGAGCAGAAGAGGGTATTGGATCCCCTGAAGTTGGAATTACAGGAAATTGTTAGCCACCTGACTTGGTTACTGGAAATTGAACTCGGGTCTTCTGGAAGAGCAATAAATGCTCTTAACCAATCTCCCTAGTCCTTGGGGACATTTTCTTGCTAATTGATGTGGGTGGTACCATTCCTAGGCATATGATCCTGGGCTGTTCAAGAAAGGTAGCTGAACAAACCAGGGGAACCATTCAGCAAGCAGTGGTCATCCATGGCTTCTGTGCTAGTTCTTGCTTGAATTCTTGCCTTGACTTTCCTGGATGATGGAGTATAACCTGTAAGCTAAAATTAGCCCACTTTTCTCTAAGTTGCTTTTGGTCATTGATGTTTATCACAGCAACAGAAAAGCAAACTAGGGCACCCATCTTTAAGAAGTGTTACCATTTTCCTTTAAAGCCAGGCTTTTTTTTTTTTCTTTCTTGTGTATCCTGGCAGTAGGATCTATGTGTTGTCTTGATAGCACAGTGAAGTCCCATTTTCCCTCTGATGTTTCTGATTGAGGGTGGTACTGGCTGCTTTCCAACAGTTTGCTGCGGGGCAGAGATTTCTAGCATTTCAACTGTAATAGGTGCTATGTAACCTATCAGGTGCATTCTTCTGTTGTCTGTTTTGTTGTTTTTTTTTTAAAGATTGATTTTTCACTTGAAGGTATGTGTGTGGAGTTATATGTACTTGATTGCAGGAGCCCCTGAGGACCAGGAGAGGGCATTGAATCCCCTGGAACTGGAGTTAACAGGCAGCTGTGAGCCACCTGATGTGGGTGCTGGGACCTAACTCTGGTCCTCTACAACAGCAGTGTGTGCTCTTAACTGCTGAGCCATCTTTCCAGTCTGCCCTTCTGTTTTTCTCTGAGACAGGGACTCATGGAGCCCAGAATGGGCCCAAATTTGCTATATGCTGAGTCTGACCTGGAACTCCTGATCCTTTTACCTTCTAAGTGCTAGGATTATAGGTTTGTGTCATCACCCCTTGCTTTGTTGCCCATTTATAAATAGCATCATGGGCTTTCCCTGGGTGGAAATCTCTGCCCTTTGTGTTGTCACCTATTTCCTACAGTGGCTCACTATTGCATTGACCAGCCATCAATAAGCAGTAAGTTGCTTCAACAATGGAAGTAGGAATAATAAAATAGACATTATGACTTAGGATATTGCAAATGATTGAAAATCACCAATTAAGAATTGGTTAGGGGTCCTGGGTTCAAGCCCCAGTGGAACCACTGGGTTATTGCTTTGCTGGGCGTGGCACACCTTTAATCCCAGCACTTGGGAGGCAGAGGCAGGCAGATCTCTGAGAGTTCAAGGCCAGCCTGGTCTACATAGTAAGTTCCAGGATAGCTGGGGCTACAGGGAGACTCTGTCTCAAAAAGACCAAACCTTGAGTTATTTGTTGCTACTCAGGATCTTGGCATGCTACATAAGTATTCTACCACTAAGCTACAGCTCAGCCTTTAATGGCAAGGTCTTGATGTGCAGACCAAACTTATCCTCAAACTTGCAAGTCTCCAACTGCAACCTCCTACATATTAGGATGCTGGGGTCACAGGTATGTGCCACCAAGCTCTACTGTGTGAATCTCTCGAGCAAATTAATTGAACTCAAGGAAAGGGTCATAGTTATCCTGACCCAGAACCTGTCCATTAGAGGCACAGATAAAGCTGGGTGTGGTGGCACATGCTTGTAATTCCAGCTGTGGCTGAAGCAGGAGGATCTTGAGTTCAAGGCCAGCCTGGGTTGTATATTGAGTTCTAAGCCATTCTGAGCTTTGTAGTAAAACCATATCTTAAAAAAACCAAAACAACCAGGGCTGGAAAGATAACTCAACAGTTAAGAGTGCTGGCTGCTCTTGTAAAGGACCTGGCACCCACATGGCAGCTAATATCATTTGTAACTCCAGTTCCAGAGGAATCTGATGCCCTCTTCTGACCTCTGTGGGCATTTCATGACATAGGTACACTTACATATATGCAGGCAATACACTCATACACAAAAAAATAAAAATTTTAAAACAAAACACCCTCCCCCCAAACAAAAACTAACTAACCAAACAGAATTGTTTAGGAGTCTTGATGAAAATTTGGTATCTGATCTCACATGCATTAGTCAAAGCATTCCCTGGATCTACTGAAGGCAGGAAAAAATTTCCCAAGAGAAATTTAAAAGTTGTTGATACCATGAAAATTCTAGGGCTGGCCAGATAGCTCAGCAGGTAAAGGTGCTTGCTGCCCAGAATTATGACCAGAGTTCCATTCCTGGGACCTGCATGGTAGGAGAGAATCAACTCCCACAGATTGTCCTCTGACCTCCACAGATATACACAGTAAATAATAAATGTAAAAAAAAAAATCTAGTTTTAGGATGTTTGTTCATTGAGCAGTCAGTGTAAAT